GCAACAGGTCTACGCAGCTACAAGCGGAGATGTTCGCGCTAGCGGCATCTGCATCGTTTGGCGTCGTAGGGAAGCACTGTAAGGATCGGAGAGCAGAACCTGCCTCGCGTGAAGGTAATTTTCGGACTTCGGTTTGGCTGCCGAGCTGTGTCCATTTAGTGGAGCCCCCGTTGCTTACATCTACTACACCCTTCTCATATTCGGTAACGCCTTGCCGAGACGATCGAAACGTATTCCTAGAAAGAAGATTCACCAGACTTCCACTCGTCTCCGCACTCACTCCGTGTCTAATGTTATTCCAGCCTGTGCAATTTCTCGATAGCTTGGAGAGTTCGAACTACGAGTCTTTGAGCACTACGAGCGTGTCTACTGCAATTCATGGCTACTGGTAAGTGAGGCAATTGCTAGAAGAACTCGGAGCCCCAATTAACTTGCTTGCCCTCCAAGACTGTAGCTGTCTTTTTGGAATTTCGGGAGCCAACCTCGACATGCCATGCGCAACCGCGTCACAATGTCTCAGGCGGCCTGAAAAGGGACGTGCAACCGTTTCATGCTGCCATCAATATGTTAACGACACTTGTGACACCATCTACCAGAGGAGTCTCAATTATCATAGTGGAGGGTGTCGTAACGAGGTTCCGTATGAGGAAGAAGATCACCCTGCTGCGGTATATCCTCGTCATAATCACCCACATGTGGATGACCGTAGTTATAGAATAAGTAGATGGCACTACTCGTACAATTCACTAGCTCGTAATATGTCACAGCCGAAGGAATACAGCGACGTCCAGCACAGTTAGTTATGGTAGTTTTTACCTGACAGAGCAGATGAACGCGAATTGAGCCTTGGCAGGATACAGTCCATACAAGATTCGGATCATGTACGCCACTCGCAGCCAGAAAACGACGGCGAATTTCCGAAAAAAAGAAACTGTTTTTATGAGAATCACCAGCGAACTAAGAGTTGTCAAAATGTGATTTCCATGGATCTGAATGAGCATGTGGTGCAAGCTCTGGGTGCGTGCAAAAGCGAAAGCGAAATAGTTGTGGACCACGAAGCTTCGCTTCCTCGCAAAGATTGGGATTACTGTGGGTAGCATGAATTACAACATCTCCTGCCCATCTCCCTTCAGCTAATACTGGATTCATTTCTACAAAACAGTTCTGCCACATTTGTCAAGGATAGTTCTGATCGAAATCGCAAACGCCGATGATTGATTCTACTGCTCACACCTACTTTCACCATCGCATATAACACCAATCCGCGCTTGGGACGCTAGGAAACTCTCGCCTAGTTCTGGCCTTGGTTCGTTCTAAACCAGCTTATCAACATTATGAAAGTTGAAATCCCTTTTTATGGGCGGAGGTGGTGCTGTAGCAAAAAGCGGCGCATCCCACGAACACAGTCTCAGAAGCTGAACGTCTTATCGAGTACCACTCATGTTACTAAAATGTTCCACTCGTCCACTTGATCAATTGATACCACGCTTAAATGAGGAGATAAAACACTGATTAGCACTACATCTGCCGGCAGGAAAGTCATGTTATGAGAAATATCGAATTGGAATCAAATACAACTACGATGTTAACAGGAAGCAAAATTCGAGGCGCGTTTCAAAACAGTAACGATCATGCCGAATTAGTTTTCTTATCCATCTACCCTTGGACGGAAGTGGTGTAGTGGCAAGTGGCGCGCTTACCACGCGAGCGGTCCGGGATCAAATCCTGGGTCGTGAGTCGCCCGGGCCAACCAAGCCTTCCATCCCTCCGGGGTCGGTTAATTGGTACCAGACTTGTCTGGGAGGATAAAAACACTGACTTGTACATCGGCTGGCCCCCGCAAGTCATTGTATAGGCCACAGCATTCAAACGCCACTACGAATGTGAAATGGAAGTAGAATGCGTGCCGCATCCCGAAGGGCTGATCAACGCCAAGTACTTTTAATCCTTCTACCTTAACGGTCTCTACTTACAGAGTAGCTTTCCGAAAAAAGCGGTGACCCTTCTATCTTCAACACTTATCAATATGGCTGACCTGCTTCCCAGTTACATAACTATATACATACAAGTAATCTCTACCTGCTGCAGTAACTCGTGCCAAATATCACGTTCGGACTCTTCGGGAAATCCGATTTCAAGTTCTTCCGAAAAGGTCGGCGACACGAACTTCAGCAAGATCGTAAATAGAGATGCGGTCACGTCCATATCGCAAATGGCGGATATTAGCTGAAACGCTCATTTGCTCAAAAGATTTTTAC